CCCCCCCCCCATCTTAGCCCGCGGGCCAGTCTACAGAGCATGCTCCCTGGAAGCCAAGGCTCAGCAGCAGCTTGGGCCCTGAGACAGAAAAGCTGCAACTCAGGTTTGCAGGGTTGATTTTCATGCTTCCACTGTCAAGAGTAGCTTTTGCCCTTGTCCTGGCACCGCCCTAACACTGTGGCCACCGCTCCCCCTCCTGCCTGTTGAAAGGCATGGGCGCCATTCCTCCTCTCGTCCATGCTGACCTCCCTACTCTGTGCTGGCTGCACCTTCCATTCTCTCCACCCTTGCTTCTCAGAGACCTCCGTTTACTGATCATGTCCCCACCCCCACAGCTCCCCACCTCGCTCCCATTTCTAGAACACCTCTGTATTAGTTCTCCACAACCGGCATTGATACAGGCTCACATCTCCCCTATCTTTAAAAATAAAAACCAATCCCTCACCTGCCATTCCAGCCAACACTTCTCTTTCCTCCCCCTTCCCAGCCACACTCTGGGAAACCCCCTCCCCCCAAACACTTGTCTCACGGGTCAGCTCCCAGGATACCACCATCAGGGCTGCTCTCACACAGCCCCCCCCCAACCAGTCTGTTACGTGAATCCCTCCCTCCTCTCCCCCTTGGCCTCCCATCCACTCAGCATCTTGATGACCACTTGTTCCACTTTCTTCACCAAGCCCAAGAGCTATTTCTCAATTCCTTGGCCTTTCAGCAGCTTTCGGTATGGTGGCCCCTTGTCTCCTTCTCAGAAGCCTTCTCCCTCAGCCTCAGGGACCGAGTGCTCCTACCTTCCTACCACCTTTCTGGCCCTTTTTTTCAGACTCCCTTGTGAGTTCCTTCTCTGCATTGGGCTCGAGCTCTCTGCTTTTCTGGCCAGGATTCCCTAAGCTCAGGATCTTCCCACCACTAGATCTAGTCCATCTCAGCAAACTTCCGCAAGCTGAGATGACTTCCAGAACACCTTCAGCCCTCAGCTCTCTCCTGACTCTGGAATCCATGTATTAACCTCCAAATCTTTCTACATGAGTATGCTTTTGGAATTCAGCGTATCTTACATTAAAATCATCTCCTCCCCAAGCCCGCTCCCCACTCCTCCCTGTGATTACCTCAATGAATGGCATTCAGCACCCACTGCCTGAGCCAGAAACACTGGAAAGTTATTCTCAACGTCCCCTCTCCCTCCCCACTCAGGCTAATCAGTGATTCTCAATTCTCCCTGCTTCTGCTTGAATCCATCAGGTCCTCCCCATCCTGCGTCTACTCTCTTCATTCTGGACACTATCCTCTCTCACTAGACAACTGAAATAATCTTCTAAGCTGGCTCCTGACCCAGTCTTAACCTGAGGGTGGAAAGTACAAACTTCTTCATGTCACTCCACTGCCTAACGCCCCTCATTAGTTCCTTCCTCTCCCCCAGGATAAAGTTTAAGCTCCTTAATGTGGCTCCTCAGGCCGTTCTTGATTTGGTCTCAACTGGCCTCTCCAGTCTCTCAGCTCTTTTCTTTGCACTTGCCCTTCCCTCCACCTGAACACTCCCCTCTCCAAGTCCCGCCTCACTCACCACCTTTCACTCACCCTTCACGTCTCAACACAAATGGCATCTGCCCCAGGAAGTTTTCTTAGCTCACAAGCCTGGTAGGATGCTGTATCCTATTTACTCCCATACGCCCAACACCGGCCCCTCGTGGCATTCATCATACTGGATTATATGCACCTGTTTGGTTTCAGGCCCCACTCGCCTCGAGTTCCTCAGGAAGAAAGTCCTAAGGCTGTGTCTTAACAGTGAATCCCCAGCACCTGTCACAGTGCCCCCTACCCCAGCCCACGCCTGAGAATAAAGGAATATAGGGCATGTTGTCTCTCCCACATATTAATAGAAAAAAAATCCAGAAAGGCGTTTGTGTTCATTTTGTTTATCCAAGATAGCTTATGGGGGTATAGAAATAAATTTTCAAAATCACAAAATACAAAAAGTGAAGTGATCCCTGATATGATTTAATGCAATTCTACCCTCCCCCATTTTATAGATGAGAAAACCAAATAACTAGAACCCCAAGTGCAATTGATATAAGAACATTGCCTCCTTTTTATCTCAGAATAACTTTAATTAAAAGTGTTTTGAGGGTGCAAAAAAACCTCAGCTCTTAAAGCTAGAAAGTCCTTCAAGATGAAGTTCAGTCTCCTGCCTTAGTGCCATTTTAAAGATAGAATAACTGAGGCCCAGGGAAGTTACTTGGCAGAGCCAAGATTATCAGTCAGACTCCTGTTTCTGTTGTGCTGCATAATCACTGGTCTATTCCACAGTAAAAGTGGAGTCAAACTAACCCCAGAGAACATTCAAAGGGCACTAGAAGGACAGGGGTCAGTAACAAAGAACCGGAGAAAAGGTGATCTACAAAGCACAGGCATACATTAGACCCAATTTACCTTGGCTAAACCTCCAGGGTTAAACAACCAGAGGTCAGCGGCTCCATTTACCAAATACTCGCAAACAGAAGCCACTCCTGTGAGGGTGCAGGGACAAATGTGTGGCCACGAGGCAAAGGCTTCCTTACTTTTATGGCTCTTTGAGGGCTATGTTCCTCCTTCATCTCCCTGTTACATAAAATACAGTGAGTGACGTGCTGAAAAATAAGCCAACCATCATCCCAGCCACTTTGCACACTTAACGCTCCTAGAGGTTTCCAAATCAAAGTTATCCAACTCCTGAAAGCTGGCCCTGGCAGAAGGTATCTGCTCAAACTCTGTTCAACGAGTTGCATTTCCTATGGGAGGTCATGGATGGGCCGAGATACAAGTTCAGGGGGGCCCTCTGCGGAAAGGCGATTCGAGCAGCGCTCTGCCCTGCCCGCACAAGGGGGGATTCAAGGCTGTGCAGTTAGAAGGCTGAGGAACCCGAGCACAACATGGCCAGGAGCCACTTTTGCCATAAGCCATTCACCGCCTTTTAATAAGGGTCCAGCCATGACATTGACTCAACTCCTCTACCTATGCTTTGCCCATACCTGCTGCTACTCGTGAACTGACCTCTCATCGCTAAGAGAGCTTCTGCTAACTTGTGGCTTCTGCTGCTCCCAGGCCTCTGCTCCTGCTTCCCTGTAATTCACCAGCCTGTGTCGGCCACCTTTATGGGAATCGTTTTGGGCCAGGTCATCTCCTGGGTCAAGCTAATGGCATTGGCTGCCCATGAATGGACACCCATCGCAGTTTCTATCATCTCTGACAGGGCAGTGAAGTCAGGTGGTACAAAAAAACCATGGCGACCTACGAAGAAGCAGCTCCCTAGGGCCTGTTTCAGCAGGAGGTTGTGGACATGAGATTTCACATACGGCATGACTGAGTGTGACAGGAAACTCTGGGATATTAATTTCCTCTCCCTTACCTATAAGTAATAATAGGAGCTACAATCTAGTGAGTGGTTCTTGTATATGGCAGGTCCTGTGCAGTCATCCTCCCTCAGAGGTTGAGTGACTCACCAGTTTACACATCGTGAGGCCAGCCGAGGCAGTTTTCACCCGGGCTCACAGCAACGTCTATGCTCATAACCACTCCGCAGCCCCTGAGTAGGAGACCGAGAGTGAGAGCATGAGAGTGGATGCCACCCAGACAAAACGGCTTCCGGGCTCCCGGGCACTGCCTGCAGCCCAGTGCCCCCATGTGATCCATTACACTCTTTTGATGGGGTCAAAAACTATTTGGTCATTCGGTTGAAGACAACAAAAAACAGGAGTCCAAAAGGAGAAGTCCTGAATTCAAAATGCAGGAGCCAACTGAGCAGCTCATCAGTGAACAGTCTTGCAGTGAAAGCCTGTGGGCATTGATGAGATCTGTGAAATTCCTTCCTACCCTGGGACAGGAGCTAGTTGGTGCAGGTGATATTTTATATGGCCACATCGCTTGGAACATAGGTTTAAAAAAACATAGAAATGCAAAACTGTGCAGCTGAAATTTGAGTAAAATAAATGTTAAAATGTCACCAGGACAACCTTGTGAATATTAGTAGTGCCACTGAATTATACACTAAAAAAATAGTTAAAGTGGCAACTTTTGTGTTACAGTTTAGCACAATTTTTTAAGATGGTACTAGGGGTATCAAATGCTACATATGTGAATGAACTGAAAACTGAATCAAACTGAAACATACAATCATCACATTTGCTATATGTATCTTTACTCAAATGATGAGCAAAACAAAGAGCCTTAAATCTGGGCATATATTGTATCAGTTTGGAGTGTGTCTTTCTCCAAAATGTAGACAAAAAAGTGCACTTTGAAAGTTTGCATCCTTATGTCACATGGTGAAAAATCTTAACATTGTAATTTCACTGTAAATCTACCTATTGAAAAACAATTTTTTTAAATATTTTTTATTGATTTCAGAGAGAGGAAGGGAGAGGGAGAGAGAGAGAGAAACATCAATGATGAGAGTCATTGATTGGCTGCCTCCTGCACACCACCTACTGGGGATTGAGCCCGCAACCAGGGCATGTGCCCTGACCAGGAATTGAACTGTGACCTCCTGGTTCATGGGTCAATGCTCAGCCATTGAGCCATGCCAGCCAGGCACCTATTGAAAATTTAAAATAGTATGTAAGATGCAACTATATGAAATAATTTTTTAAATAAAACTAAATATTGCTTTCATATTAAATATTAACATATTGAATAGTATGTGTTTAATAGTAATATTATAAAAAGCAATAAATGTTGCTTTCACAGCACTTGCCTGGGACAGAGTGGACACCTGCATTGTTTCTGATGATGCCATTATTACCTAAGATATTCCTGAAACTCTTTACAGTTATACATTTGGGGTTTAAAACTACATTACCTGGCTTGATCACCCAACTTGTTTACCAGCTTCACTTCAAATGATTCTTGGCAACTTCCAGAAGTCAAATTCATCCTAGTATGTATCCTCTAGGTCCCTACCCATAATGGAGGTATTTGAGACAAGTAGGACAGATCCTAAGAATAACATCAAATAAGTTCCAAAACATTTGGAGCAATGGCAATATTGTTGGATTGTGGACACAGGAGTTAATTCCTTTGCAAGAGAACTTTTAATTTACAAGAAGCACTTTGGGGAGGAATGAACAGTCTCATTCCTTCAGAGCCACAGCACTTATCTGCAAATCTGCTATCCAGAGATGTCAACTGTACCCTGTATTTGGCTTAGTCTTTAATTACAAGTATTAATCAAGTCTCTGTCCTCCAAGAAGCTTCCTAGCTACTGATAATACCAAAAAGATGGAAAATAAAGGTCTTTTACATTCTTTTCCACTTCAAACACCAATTTTTTAAAATTAAAATGTTTTTCACCTTCAATGTCCACCTGGGCTTCACCACCCCTCTCTGTTCCTGTCCCCCCCCCCCTTCTAATCGCCCTTTCTTCTGGTCCTCACTTGCAGGGAGGAGCGGTCATCATGATTCTGCTCAGTGTGGCCATCACAGTGCTCTCGGTCATCAACGTGGGCAAGAGCATCCTGTTCGTGATGACCCCCCACCTGTGGGCCACCTCCTCCCTCATGCCTCTCATTGGCTTCCTGCTGGGCTACCTTCTCTCCGCTCTCTTCCGCCTCAATGGACAGTAGGTATCACTTGAGGTCAGTTCCAAGGGCCTCATTCTTGCCCTGGTCTCTCAGGAGAAAGATGAGATCTGAGATCTTGGGAAGGCGTTTCGCCAGCAGTAGGTTCAAGTGCATCAACTGAACAAAGGACTTGGGACTGTGAGAAATCTCAGAAAGGGATCGAATGGGTTAGAAACAATAATCCAGAGACCAATGGCATCTCTCTGATCATCCAAAGAGCAAAACTCATGGCAAAGTGCTCCCTCTAGAGCCTAGATTCCACCTCCTACCCAACTCCCTGGTAGCTAGTAGCACTGGGGTACCTCCATGTCACACGGCAAGTGTTGCTCATATTCTTCCTCTTCCACTTGTCCCCTTTTTTCCTTTGACAAGAACGCCATCAAGTGACAACTCTGCTAAGTGGCACTCAGAGCTGAAATAGCCAGAACATCGGCTATAGTCTAATCCAATTCACAGCTGCTACTTCAGCGGAACAGATGGCTCTTAACCATGAGAGCCTGGTATGGGAACATCGGGTACCCTGTCTATACAGAGCAGTAATACATTTCAGGAATTTTTGCTCATTTCGAGCATAGTACACAAATGCTTATGCAGGAATTTACATTAGTAGCACCCTAGCACTCCCCCACACCCCCCAAATAAAGTGTTTTAAAAATACAATTTAAAAATAATTATCCATACAGAGAACAAACTGGGGGTTGCCAGATAGGAGGCGGGGTTGAAGGGCTGGGTGAAAAAGGTGAAGGGATTAAGAAGTGCAAATTGGTAGTTACAAATAGTCACGGGGATGTAAAGTGCAGCAGAGGGAATAAAGTCAATAATACTGCAATAATTATATATGGTGCCAGGCGGGTACTAGAATTATTAGATTACTCTGTAAATTATATAATTGTCTAACCATTAATGTTGTACACCCAAAACTAATATAAAGTAATATCAATAATTAAAAATAAAATTTTAGAAGTAATTTTAAAAAGTAAAAATAATCATCCATTTTTAAAAACATGCTGCCAATGACTACTCCATGTCAATTTTCACAAAGACAGGGTGATAGGGATCATAATGGCACCAGCATCAAGTACCATTACAGCAGTCTTCCTCGGTGTGCTGACACAGCTTGCAGGGGTTGCAGTGGATTGCAGCTATTTTTTTTAAAATATGTCTTTATTGATTTCAGAGAGAGGAAGGGAGAGGGAGAGAGATACAAATATCAATGATGAGAGTCATTGATCGGTTGCCTCCTGCACACCCCCTGCTGGGGATCGAACCCACAACCAGGGCATGTGCCCTGATGGGGAATCAAACCGTGATCTCCTGAATCATAGGTCCATGTTTAATTGCTGAGCCAAACCTGCTACGCAACAATTATTTTAATACACTAATTAAATTCAATGAATTAGATATATATTCATTAAATGTAAACATCCCATTCTTTAATGCATAAAATGGAAAGCAAAAAAACAAGAACATGTATTCCGATGATAGATAAATGCGGCTGAATGAAACTGTTTATTGTTTCAACCATCACTTTAAAGGTAGCCAAGCCAGAAACTTGCAAACAGGACAAGGTCCCCAGACATTTCAACCCTCTACTGTATGTTGAAATTGTAATTGTCATGTAAGCCCAATATAGCAAACCAATGACTGATACTGGCTCACACCTTCCTTTCATCCCTCACCAGCTGGACATGTCTCTAAAGTTTAATTTGGTAATCCTACAAAGGTGGACAAATCGTAATTTCCAAGATAATCAAAAACGATCTCATAAAAAAATCCCTACATGAACCAACTAGTCACCATCTTCCACAGGCTGGATTAGTGATTTTAAGATGGTCAACTTCCCTTTTCTTGAAATCATGCACACTCCACGCCCTGGCACACTTCCTGTCTTGGGCTGTTGGTGGGTCTTAAGAGTATCTGGGAGACAGGAGATCAGGAAGTGAGGTTGCACACAGGCCTCTTCTGTGAGGACATACGGAGTTGTTTTTAACCTACACAGGTGCAGACGCACTGTCAGCATGGAGACTGGATGCCAAAATATTCAGCTCTGCTCCACCATCCTCAATGTGACCTTCCCCCCTGAAGTCATCGGACCACTTTTCTTCTTCCCTCTCCTCTACATGATTTGCCAGCTTGGAGAAGGGCTTCTCCTCATTGTCATTTTTCGGTGCTATGAGAAAATCAAGCCTTCCAAGGGTGAGTACTGAATTATCCCCCTTGGAGATCTCTCATGTTGGAGGCAAACAAGTTACCAGCAAGGACCCGGTGGTTAGGGCTTTAACTCTTATCAAGCCACTAGGAACCAGGTAGCATCAAGAAATAGGAAGGGACCCCAGAGAACCAAGGCTCCTTCATTCACTGCATTGTGTTTCGGATGGAGTCTGCGCCTCATGGGACTAGGCAATTTGGGCTGTTTTAACTGAGGAGACCATGTATGGGCTCAGGATGAGAAAGCAGGACAGAACCATCTTGGCCAATAGTTGTGAGATACTAGTTATGTGAAAGGCCCTATTCACAAGAGTTCCAGAAGCTTGTACTGTAGATTTTTATGTCTTGGAACCAGGTCAGAGCCCCAGCACCACTGGCACCCCTACAGGGGGGAAAACATTAAAGCAATTCGGCCTAATAACTCTGAATCCAAAAACAGGATCCCAATTCTGGTTACACATTAAAGAAAACTCAAGTAAAGCTTATTAAACAGTAGCTATCACAATAATCTAGTTTGATCTGATTTATACCTTAATCTGATTACTACCGGCTTAATAACTTCCTAGCCAATTAGCACCTATTTTCTAAGAGGCTCAGATCACTTCATTCTCTTCAAAATGTAATCAAGCCCGGCCAGGCGTGGCTCAGCGGTTGAGCAACAACCTAGGATCCAAGAGATCAAGGTTCAATTCCCAGTCAGGGCACATGCCAGGGTTGCGGTCTCCATCCCTAGTCGGGGGTGTGCAGGAGGCAGTTGATCAATGATGACTCATCATTGATGTTTCTACCTCTCTCCCCCCTTTCCTCTCATTGATGTTTCTCTCTCTCCCCGCCTCTCTCTTCCTCTCTCTGAAATCAATAAAAATATATTTTATATATATATAAAATCAAAACTCAAGAAAGCTGAGTCCCTTCCTCAAAGTGAACTTGAACCCCGTCTTTTTTTTCCAAACCAGGAAACTCAACCTTACTCGGTAACATATCTCAGTATTCTGCATTCTAAACATCAGTATATTCGATCATTCAAATCCTCAACTCTTATTCCCACAAACTTAACTGAGGGGCCCTTCAAGACCTTTCCTAGGCATGGGGAGCTGATTTACACCCTAGGAGAAAGATGCAACTTCTCCTGGTGAAATTACCTTATAGTAGGCAAATGCTGATTTACAATGAACTAAGATGTCATCTTGGTTATCAAGCAGCCAAGAAGAAACCGATAGATTAAATTTCAGAACCATTTTATAAGTTTTGCTTCAAAACTACAGTGGAGTTACAGAAAATCTATTCTGATGCTTATCCAAGAGTAACTCAGGAAGTCTTTTGCCCACTGAAGTCTCCACCCCCTTACCACAAAAAATGAAAGAGAGGGGGAAAGGTTCTAAAACAACCCATCAGGTTCCCAGTTTTAGTCCCAGAAAGGCCCAGGGTGCCCAGTGCTCTCACAGGGCCATACTCTAATTACGAGTCTTTGGCTCTCAAGACCTAAAATGAACTTCACTCACAACGCACTTCAGAAGACCCCTAGGGCAAAACTCAGTGAAAGCATCTTACTTTTTGGACCTAGTGGACCATAAGGGGCCAAGCAGCAATGCTCAGGATGAAGAATCTGCCAAGTTTTTGTGATTTTGACCCCTGTATCCTTCTACAGAGACAGGACAACCAGAAAGATAAACCCTGACTCATATCTTCACAGCTATTCACCACATCCATGCAGCCTGGAAAAGCTGACCAAACAAAATGAGGGAAGGGAGGGGCATGGAAACACACTGGAAGATTTTCCTAAAGCTCTTTCCTCCCTGACCCCTCCTTGATCCCTAAATACAGTCAACAACCTCACTTAAACTCAATAGCACATACAAAGAAGTTGGACATGGGGTCAGAGAGTCAATATCCTGTTAATTAGACCTTCTGTGACTAGTATTACCATTAGGCATGTTGAGGGAAAGCAAATCTTTCCTCAGAGTTAAGTCATCAGAGGACAGATGGCTGAGATGGAAAAAGAGAGGCCATCCTAGGGGTAAATTGGTATTCTTTTATCTTCCAGATTAAACAAGCTTTGCATTAACTATTCTCTCATTCTCCTTCCCCACCCATAACCCTTAACTTCACAGATAAAACAAAAATAACCTACACAGCTGCCACAACTGAAGAAACTGTTCCAGCAACTCTGGGAAACGGCACTCATAAAGAAGAGTGCCCCCCTTACACAGCCTAGCCCTCCCCCAGTGGCCTGGCTTCAGGTCAGAGGCGATTCAGGCCAGTGTGGTCAACGACAGACAGAAGATGAAAGGAACACACCAGCAGTGTCTGAGTCTTTCTCCGGCATTTCCAGCAGAAACTACCAGCATCATCAAAAGCCTTGCCTGGAGGACAGATTGGGGGGAGGTGGGGTGGTCAACCCTAAAAGCCTCACCTATCTCCAGCTTAGAATTTGATATTTTTTTTAAAAAAAGTAAAGACTTATTCAATGACAGCCCTATGAAGGAAACCAAAACTACCTTTTACCTCTCCTCTCCACAACAGTGCCTGTTAGGCATCTAAAAGGCACCTGATCTCTCATCCTGGCCACCAAAAGGCTGCAGGTTCCATCCCGTCGGGGTGCCTCCCAAGAGGCAACCGATGGATGTCCTTCTCTCTCCTCCTCCCTTTCTCTCTAAAATCAATACACATATCCTTGGGTGAAGATTTAAAAAACAAGCACTCGATTTCTAAACTAGTCAAAAAGTTTTTCCTCAAAATCAAATACCCAAATCCTGTTCCAAGTTTTGTGACTAAAAGATAATGCTCAGAGAGCTGTACGATTAGACTTCTAAAGTCCTTTCTAATAACCTTAAAAATTCAGATCCTGCTCCTTCCATCACTCTACTGTGATTAAAGTTCCTGAGAACACAAATACACCACCAAGTATACGAAAGCAGATATGATAAAGTGCAAAAGCAATTAGACAAGACAAACTCAAGAGCTCAGCCACAATTAATTGAAAGAAAATAATCCCAGAAGTAGAGAGAAAAACTACAATCCCAGTAAGAGGGGAAAACCTTTAACAAGAAAAAGCCAGGCAACAAGAAATAAAAAAATTTAACAGAATCGTTTCCCTAATCTAATATTCTATATCCCATCAGTTCATTAGGTTATCAGTGGTTTTCACATTATGCTCCCTCAAAATTCAGAGTTAAGATGCTGCCAAAATTAATGGTTTCTCCATTCAAAGAAAATACACAAAATTCAAATTCCTAAATTTCAAACTTTCTCCAATGAAATGTAAACATTTTGCATATGCTTATGTACAAACAAGCATTGGGTCAAAAATTAAAGAACAATAGTGTTTGCAAACAGCCTACCATGCCTAACTACTCATGATTTTCATATCACTTAATGATTAGATACAACTGAAACTGCGACAATTTCGGGGCATCAGTCTGGCAAATGTCGAGGACTACCAATATTCCAAGTACCACATCAAACTTGAGCGCATTGCTGATTTGGGCCACAAATGCCCTATTAAAAATGAAGATTTGCAAAAAGGTTTACCATTTATCTTTTTTACAATACCCACATTGACCTATCTATTCAAATTTTTCCCCTAATATCTAGCAGACAACTGCTAGGAAACTTGGTTAAGTAAAACAAAGCAATGTAAGAACAAGTTTAGGTTTTTGAGGCAGGTAATATACTTAAGATATATTACCCTCAGTGTAAAAAGATGCAGGGGAGACCGGCCGGCGTGACTCAGTGGTTGAGCATCCACCTATGAACCACAAGGTCACAGCGGGCTCGATCCCCAGTAGGCAGCATGCAGGAGGGAGCCAATGACTCAATCTCATCATTGATGTTTCGCTCCCTCTCCGAAATCAATAAAAGCTTTATTAAAAAAAAAAAAAAGGTGATTCTGTAATGCCAATCACCTCTCCATGAAAAAATAAAAAGGTGGATATAGTCAATATTGTGATAAGACAGATGATCACCGCCCACATTGTTAGGTATATAAATGTCAAGTCACTATATACTGTACACCTGAAACTAATCTTGTGTACCAACTACACTTAAAAAAATAATTGCAGGCAAAATAAGTGTTACACTCAAACTTTATCTTTAGAGTACTAGATGAAAGGAATAAAGATATACAGCACAAAAGTTACACTATGCCCTGCAAAGGCTAGTCTTCAAATTTTGCTTATGCTCACACCCACACTCACGACTTCTCAGCATCTGGACCTGAAAATTTAGGCGCTTTGTTGGTTCAAACCAACTCCATCTTCTCTACCATTTGTTTAAAGGGTCTTATTTTATTGCCTCACTGTATAACAGACTATTTGTAATACTAAAACAGTTAAGCGTTAACAGAGACAGAAAAGTCAGAAAAAGTAGTAAAATATCCAAGTACATCCATAAAACCGAGTTACTTTATTTTAAAAAGCTCAAGGGGGGGGAAATTGTGTTTGATGGCAACTACTTGGCTGACTTGTTCGGCCTTCAGAAACACACTATGAAGAAAAAAACTAGGTTCTTCCATTTTCTTTTAATCCTCACCCAACGGTATGTTTGTTCTTGCTAATCATCATCTGAGGATATTGTTTCCATTAATTTTTAAGAGTGGAAAAAAGGGAGAAGTTGGGCGGAGACACACATCTACTGGGGATCGAACCTGCAACCCAGGTTATGTGCCCTTACCCGGGAACAGTCGGTGCCTGGGCTGATGCTCTGAGCCACCCAGGCAGGGCAGGTTCTGCATTTTGAGCAAAGCCACTGCCCTCGGAGTTAAAGGACACCAGGTCAACTCTCCCTAGAATCAGCTCCACAATTTTATGGCTCGAGACCTAGTCTTCCATACAGACGGAAGTGGCCTTCATGCCAGTGTACCAAAAAGCTTTCAAATCTACCCCCAAACGAAGATGCCCTTAGTGGATCCCCACTTTGGAGAAACCAAAAGCGATCTTTCTAGTGTTTTCCTCAAAACCCCTGCAGGGCTATGCAAGGGCCTACACTCTGGTTTGGGGATTCCGAACTGGACTTCACGGGTCCTAGTACCAGTCTAACACTCACTTGCTCTTCTCTTTGGCCTGAATCTCCTCCAGTAAAATGGTACTACACAGCAAGTAGTTTTGAAGATTCAGTGCATGTTATTCAGTTACCAAGTATTTATCTAGCCTGGAATTCAAATGCAGGGCTAAAGTCCTATCAGTCTCAGAGACTCCACTAAGTTTAAATAAAGCTCATTACCTGAAGATGGACGAAGAACCTTAACACATACTGTCACATCCATGTCTCAGGACTAAAAGTACGTGAACCCCTTTAAAGCACTCATGTGCACTGATCTGACAAACCACTACCACAAAAAAAAACCTTTATGTGATCATCTCTGACCACCAAAACTGCATTACAACCTTTAAGAAAGGCATAAAATACTAACTGTACCATTTGCTTCCCAAATTGGCCGCCTCTTGACTACGGAAACCTAAGTAACTGATGCCAATGGAGTAGTAGTCAGGTGATAATGGAACAGAGCATAAAGGAAACTGTCATAAATTGTTATTGCTTTGAACAGTTCACTGACTTGGCCCACCTTTTGAGCAGCCTGGAAATGTCAAAAGCACTATTTAAAATTTTAAACTAAAGTAACCTGACCAAATGACTTCAGCATTCTCTACAAAAAATTCTGAGTGTAGAATATAGACGGGGCGAGAGAAGTACATAGCACAAATCCTTCAGACACAGACAAAAGCAGTTTTATAATTTTTTATTATCAATAACAAACAGCTGCTTGTTAGTTTTTACCAGGCAGCTGTTAAAGGGTGGGTGGGGAGACACCCTTGACCCTAACAAGGAAAACTCAAATTAAGCCTTTATGTACAAGCAAATTTAGAGCTCTTTTAAGTGTCCAAAGCTATTAATTAGTTTAATTGATGCATTAAACTAATTCTGAATTAACATATTTGAATAACCAAGAACTAAAATGTTCAATTTTTTTCTAGTACAAAAAAATTAAATTTGCTTTAGTTATAAAAGAGCTCTGTCAATATACACAAACTATATACTTCAGACATTCACAAAAATGTGAGCAGAAGGCTTATCAAAAGACATTTAATACAATTAGTTTTCAACAACCCCTTGGTGGTCCACATCTACAAAGATATCCAGCCCAACCCAACCCCCCTCCATATCCCACCCCCACAGAAAAGCACATACTTACCAGAATTTTAGCAAGTATGATTTGGGAATTTGTATTTTTGGTGGTTTTTTTGTGTGTTTTTTTAAAAAGGCCCCCTGGGCAAGTTATTTACAGTTTAATTGCCACTGTCAACTGATCTGGACCTGGACCGGGACCGGGACCTGGACCTGGACCTCTGGCGATCCACAGATGCTGGAGACTTAGATCTACTTGAAGAACCACGTTTCTGGCTCTTCTCAGGTGCAGGAGACCTACTACCAGAACGAGACTTGCTCCGGCTCCGGCTCCTGCTCCTAGACCGGCTGTAAGACTTGCGACTCCGAGAACGGGATCGGCTACGAGACCTAGAGGAACTCCTGGTCCGGGAACGAGACCTACTTCGTGACCTACTGGTAAGGGGGCAAAGAAAATACAACATGAGCTGCAGGCCCTACAAACCCATTAAATAAAACTTTAACTTAAAAATATTAAAGAGGAAAAAAATACATATATATTAGAGTGCCGTGGCTGGTGTGGCTAAGTTGGTTGGGCACTGTCCCATGCACCATAAGGTTGCTGGTTCAATCCCGTCAGGACACATGCTCAGGGTATGGGCTCAATCTCTGGTAGAGGCCACACAGGAGGCAACCAATCGATGTTTCACTGTCACATTGATGTTTCTCCCTCCCCCTCTTCCCCTCTCTAAAAATAAAAATTACATTAAAGAAATACCTGTGCCTTTTGCTGCCTTCAATTAATTTTATTTTTCTCCCATTTATTTCCTTTCCAGAAAGTTTTTCAATAGCATTCTTTAAGTCACCATAAGAGGCAAATTCAACCACCCTACAATGGAAAAACAAAACAAAAACACATTTATAAACTTATGTACATTTTACAATATCACAAGCTACAGACATCTAGATAAGTGCCTTTTCCATGTTCATTTTGCTATTACTATACCAAGAGCGAAACTCTCGATAATGTGGAATTAGAGAGCAAGGTTTCTCAACCTCCTAACTGCTAACTATTGACATTTTAGGCCAGACAAGTCTGTTGTGGGGGGCTTTCCTGTGCAATGTATAAAGTTTATATGCATCCCTGGCCTAGATCTACATGATGCCTGGCATTGCCAAGTGTCCCCTGAAGCAAACTCACCTGAGAAGCAAGAGCATGCACAAATTTTAAGTACTCAGAAAAACATTCACAGTAAAGTTTCTAAGATAAGATATTTTAAAAGGCTTATAATCTTTAGTAATACTCACCCTTCATTTAATTTAGGTCTGTGTGCATCCGCAAAGGTTACTTCTCCAGCTTGTCTCATAAAATCTTTGAGATCCTTAACACAAGACAATCATGTTAAACAGAGAAAAGGAAACCTGACACACAAACAACAACATGGTATAAAAACAAGACTACTGAAAGAGAAGATGTTAGATAAAGTACAAACATGGTATTTACCACACTTGTATTCTATCAGAATTCAAAAATTATCTATGTCAGGGCACGAAATAAGCAAACAGCATATTGCTTTTAAGCAAAATGCTAAAGGAAGTTCAAATTTTAACATTAAGTAGTATTAGTCTATACTGAGCTCAATACAAAAGGAAAACAAAAAACAAAACAAAAAAAAAAAACAAACAAAAATTAACAGTACATATTTTTAAAATAAAGACTAAAGTAGTAATTTTATATTTAAAAACAGAACATTTACAAGACACCAGTTATTTTGTGCCCCATATGTCATTAAAAAAGTTTACTTTACCTTTATTATTATTTCCCTAGGCTAGTCAAGCAGCAAACCGTTAATCGGTCGAAGAAACCTTCATGACATATGCCCGACTGGCTCTTCGCCACCCACTTGAAGGACACTACCCAATCGGTGGAAGCCTTTAATCACACAGCCCTCCCTATTAGCAGACTACTGGCGGATGCAGACATGTTCTACTCTTGTGCAGTTACCAAGGACCACTTTACTGCGATCAGGATTCCAACGACCAACTAATTTCGTATCTTTCGACCAGGACCTCTTATTCGGAAGCGTTACAGGAAGACAGCTCTCAACTTAGGGATCAGATCACGTTATCAGCGCTCTGGGATTGCTGCAACCTGGCACTCCAAGTAAGTGCCCCGATTACGTCTAGACCGGCAAACACAGATCTAGAGGTGGCCAATTGATCACTGTAGGAGCTGACTGGCAAAGTCAACCAGGCCCAACCAAGAGTGACCAAGACAACGATTAGGATAACCCACAGGCACTCCTCGTCATAAGGCCAACGACACAGATAGGCTGGCAAATAAAGGGTTTAATATTTGGTTAAAATTGATTTTAATAACAAGAAAAAATATCCTCAAAACATTTACATTTGATCACTAATATTAAACTTTGAAAATATCCCCCAGTTACATTTAATTAAAAGTTTAAAATTACAATTAAGTCCATTAATTTAATTAAAAATAGAACTACTTTTAATAAAATGTTAATAAATCATTAGCTACCCAATTCCATTATTTTTTAAAAAGCCACATTAAAATATCTCAAAACTGAATTTCTACAAACCTGCCAGCTGACTCTTGACGATAAATTCTCAACTATAAGCCGATTTTCTGTTCTTACAGGGGGAGCATTTCTAAGGAAGAAAACAAGTATTCACAATGGAAGATACACAGCAATGTGCACTTATTTTGTCCAACTGTGACCACGTTTATGCAATCAGACATAACAAGTTACTCAAATGTTTTCTTCAACAGTTTCTTAATTACGATTCATTATGCAGACTTAACAGAAACAGTGAACTGACATAGGAATAAAAGAACCGACTTGTTTTGGCAAGAATCAAGAATCACTTATTGCTAATGGTTCTCAATCATTAAACAGTCATGCAGTAATGATTGTTCAAAACCACCATCCACCATCACATACCGTCTATCATTTCGAGGTCTGCGACTACTAAAACGATCAGAGTAGCGTCCTCTACCTCTTCCACCTCGGGATCGTGCCCGAGCATGTTCAATAGTAACCCTATAGGAAGAGCAGAAAAGTCTTCATTATCCACATTCACTACGTAAGAGATCTACTTAGGAAAATACCCCAGCATACCCTAAATCTGCTCTATTTTACAATGTTAACTAATTATAAAACTAAAAATAAGATTCTCACCTTTCACTGCACAGTTCTTTTCCATCAAGTTCATAAACAGCATCATCAGCATCCCTGGGATCCTCAAACTCCTAAAATACAAACATGAAAAAAATATAACACTTAGCAGTTTTAAAACTGTGTTCTACAACATATTAAGAGCACTAAAAACTTTCAACAGATGAGAAAAGAGGTATCTTAATGACAGTGTCACATCGGTAATAAGACTAATAGACAAATGAACAGGAGTGGTTCCCCTCCAGTCAGCAGTGAGGTTCTTTCATTCCTTAAAAAAATTCACTGCCTTAAGGATGCATAACATTTTCTAAAGATACTCTGACTCATGCTGCTTATCAGAATCTTTACCAACTTCACAATAGATAATCCAGCCAGTTCTGAATACTCACCACAAAACCAAAGCCTCTTTTCAGATCGATATCTCTTATTCGTCCATACCCCTTGAAGAATCTTTCCACGTCCTTCTCCCTGGCCGCTGGGTTTAGCCTCCCGATGAATACTCGACAGCCACTCATGACGCCCGGCTAGTATTTCCTGTTAGGGAAATAATTCAATTGACACAATACCAGTGAATGTCAGAGGAATGCCTGCTCAAGGGGTCAAAAAACATGAACGGCATAAAATAAAATGTTTACCGGGTGATGTTATAAACAAGATTGCCAAGAGTGCCTCTTATTAGGCCAGGTCCCTTGCAGACAAAATTAAAACTCGGCTCCCAACACGATCCTTCCCTGGGCCCAGAACGCAGCAACCGCAACGCCCACTGCCGCCTCTGGAACTGCGCAGCCTCACACTCTCCCCGGCTCTTCTGGCCCCCTCCCATCTGCCGCAGTTAGGAAAGGCCGAGAAGTGCGGGCGGAGCCGGCCCCGCCCTCCGCAAGGCCAGCCCAATGGCGAAGGGCCGCGCGTGCGTCGCCGCCTCCCGGGAGCGTCACAGAGGATGGAAGCCGGAATCTCGCGACGCCACCGCCGCGCCTGCGCAGAGGGCGGCAGGCGGACGCTAGACAGCCACAAAATGGCGGCGGCGGAGCCAGCAGTGGGGAGAGCCGCGCGTGCCAAACTCCCTTCTCCCACCCCCTCCCCCGACTCCACTGTTTCGGAGTCACCATTCCCGCCCACAGAAATCCCGAACCACACCCCAAGCAAAGCCCACTACTCGAGGGGTTCGGCTAATGAAGAAGTAAAGAAGTAGGGAGGGGCACACACCCCTCGGTAAAAAAAGACCATAACCAAGACCGCCCTTCCACCTTCACTTCCCCTCAAACAATACCCAAAGGGAGACGTGCCCCAGCGCCCACCTCGAATAAACTGCGCTCATTGGACGCCGTCCTCCGCAAAGAGAGCAGCCCTGGCCACTGATCCGAGTGGCCATGAAGAAGCCTCGATCCGAGAAGCCATTCCCTCAAAGTGAGCCACTCACCTACCGGACAGGATCTCTGGCAGCTGAGACCCAAGAGAGGTCCGTAGTCTGCGACGGAGCCGTCTGCCTCCCCGCAGACCAGGACTCTACTCGTCTACGTCTCTCGACAACTGACGCACTTAGCTGCTCTGGCGTTCTACAAAATGGAGGGTGCGCCTTGCGTCACTTCCGGGGACGCCCATGGAACCTCCTCCTGGGATCCGAGGACGGAAGTTTCCGCGGGGTCGGGAACTCGTTACCGCGACCGGCCGAGCTACGGTCGCTCGCGGTGGGCGGGGCCGAGGGGCGGGGACCGAGGTGAGCGCCACCGTCAGGTACCGGGTTGTGAAAGGGCGGCCGTTGAAGACACTTGGTCCTTCCAGGTCTTGAAGTTCGGTTCCTCATTGTCTCTCCGGTGAATATACTCTAAGACGAATGACGCCTCTTTTTTATCTGATATTTTGTCAAGAGGCCCCGAAGAGTCCTGGATGAAAGAAACTCGGGCCTTGCAAAGCTGGCCATCTCTCACCCCGCGCCGCTTGCAGCTTCAGGTTGAACGTTGGAAAACGCTCCTTGATGAGCGATGAATGTTTTAACCATAGCGCGGAAGTGTCGTTTATAGGACGAAGACTGAAGAAGTGCAGTGTGGTTTTTAGTTTTATTTTTTTTTTAATATATCTTTATTGATTTCAGAGAGAGGAAAGGAGAGGGCGAGAGAGAGCTAGAAACATCAATGATGAGAGAGTCATTGATCGGCTGCAGCCCGCAGCCCGGGCATGTGCCCTGACCGGGAATCGAACCCCCATCGCCTGGATCCTAGGCCCACGCTCAACCGCTGAGCGACGCCCCGCCGGGCGCAGTGTTTTATTCCTCCAAGCAGAAGGTTGCTTTTCAAAATGGGTGTGGAACATAGCCCTCCGCTTCCTGAACTGCATTTTCCCAGTAAGATCGTCAGGCTTAGAAATTTGAGCTTAAAGATGGTGAAAGGTTACTCTGCTTTAATGCTTTTAGGTGGAACCCAAGGCACCCTATTTTTGAGAGGGGCCCAGAATCTAGGGTTGCTGCTTGTAACTAGAGTTACACAGAGATAAAGTAGCTCAAGAAGGAGCAGAGCCGCTGGCCCTTATCTCTGGCCCTTAGGCTGACCTCCTCTCACCGCGGGGGCATCTAGGAACACTGGGTTGAGCTCGGACAGTTAGTGTACATGGCTTGTCCGTTCATGCACTTTCATGTTTGTTTTAAATAGAGCCTCAGAGGGTACTCAGCAAAATTGTGAAATTGGCTATCTATTGGGTGGGGAAGTAAGGATGGACTTAAAATATGTACTAGTTAGATTAAAACACTTATCTTCAGCTGCTAGCCTCATAAACGTTGGCATATCATAAGGCACAAATTGTTCCATGCCGGTACTTATTTAATTTGTTTGCTTTCTGCATAATTTTTGAAAATCTGTCTTCCAGTTATTTTCTACATTTCGTGTTGACTGTGAAGCAATCACTTGTGATTTCACTCAACATTTTGCTGCAATAAGGGAAAGTAATCTAGAAAAACTTTTCTGGGAAGTAAAAAATAGGAACAAGGGTGCTGTACACAGTGAAAAAAGTGACTCCCTTCAGCCCATGGTGGTGTGATTTTCTTCAAGACTAATTTTTTATAATATGTTTAGTATGCTTTATTGATTTCAGAGAGAAGAAAGGAGAGAGAGAAACATCAATAATGAGACATTGATTGGCTGCCTCCTGCACGCCCCCTACTGGGGAGCCCAAAACGCCAGACAGAATGGAATGGTGACCTCCTGGTTCATAGGTGGACGCTGAACTACTGAGCCATGCTGGCCAGGTGGGGACAAATATTTTAATAAAGCCTTTCCTCTGGACTAATTTACTGTTGGAAAGTTTTTGATTTCCATAGAGTTAATTTTTCATTAGTATTGTCTAGTGACTTAAATCTACTGTATTTTGAACCACTTGTCTTCTGCAATGCTTGTTTGTTCCATGACAACTGCCTAATAAGTCTCCTTCCCAGACTGTTTCTTAATAATTTCCCTAATAAACTCATGTTCCATGCGCAGAACTACTCTTCCTCCTATGTGATCCTACAGTATTCTGTGTATACTCTGTGTATACTGAGGACTGTTTTACATTTTTAAATGGTCGGGAGCTGGGCGAATCAAAAGAAGAAGAATATCTTGTAACATGATAAGTATATGAAATTCAGAGGTCATCATCCATAAATAAAGGGTTTTTTTGGAACACAGCCACACTTGTTTAATTATTGTCTACATCTATTGTCCTGTGATGGCAGGGCTGCGTAGTTACAATAGAGGCTGTAGGCCCACAAAACCTAAAATGTTTACTACCTGGCCCTTTACAGAAAATGTTTGCCAACCCCTAAGCTAACTGATTCCTAGACTTTAAACTGAATACTCCACCCAGCTCCCTTTGCCAGATAATAAAATCATAACAGAGAGACAGGATTTGATCCTTATTTCTAAATAGAGTTTATTTTACTCCCATTATAAAAAGAAATACATTCTTCTTATAGCAAAAATGTCCAACAGGAACAATAATTGAAAGGAGAGAATAGTCATGGTCCCGTCTCACCAAATCCACCTCTGATTATATTTTGTTTTATTTCCTTCCCATGGTTTTTGTCCTGAGTGTTTAATGTTTTCTTCTCCCATTCAAAAATGACACCATTTTTTAAAAAAACACAGACATGAAAATGTAAAAGGCCATCCTATTCCCAACCATGAGGGATAACTATTTGGCTTTTTTATAATTTCCCTTTAGTGTTTTTCTATAAGCACAATTGTATTTTCAAAATAGAAACCATCCTCATATATACAGGGTGTCTGAAAAAAGTATATACACACTTTGAATAATTATTAATTCCAATCTTCCACCCCACCTCTCCACTAAAACTGCTGTCAACATTCATTATCAACCTAATTGCAAAATCCAGTGGGCTCTTTACAATCAGCATCCTCCCTAATAAAACTTGTCAATCACCCCCTTACTACATGCCAGGCATCGTGCTGAGGGTTTTGCATTTACTGCCTACTCAGCCCTTATACAACTTTCTACAGTAAGTTCATAGTGTCCCTTTTTTTTTTTTAATGTTGAAACAAAGTTCTAAGCCACACAGCTGGAAGTGATGGAGCCTTGAATTGAATCCAGTATATCTTTTCTAACTCTGTGCTAATAAAGGGTTTTCCTTCCAAAGTTATAGGAGTTACCCAAAAGGGAAATCAAAACTCATTATTGCGTTTTTTAAGTCAGGAGAGAAAAATTTCACTTCGGCTACGTTTTTGTCTCTGTGTTGCAAAGGTGTGAGCTAGAATGTGAAAATGGATTCAGCACAAGCAATTACTAGTTAGAACCGATGCATCTCAGCTGTTACAAGTGACATCCACAGGCCAGATCACACGGGAAGCAACCGAGCCTGTCAGGCGTGCAGGAGCTGGAATCAGATGTGTGTTGGAATTTCAGGTCCAACACTTCCTACGGTAAGCTCCAGAGACTAAAATAGGGCCTGCACATCATAGGCACTCCAACAATATTTGTTAAGGAGTGAATCTATGACCGCCAGCATGTTGCTGGAACTTTCTAAGCCTCAGTTTCCTCATGTGAGAAATAGATCAATAGTAGTACTTAACTCATAGAGTTGTTACAAGGATTAAGTGAGGCAATGCATGCCATGTGTTTGATCCGGTGCCCCATTTTACTCCACAGGTTTTGGCTACAATAAGTGCTACAGGTAGCCTGTCTCTCCCTTCAGGAAGGACAAAAGTCACAGTGGCGGTTAAGCTGCTGTGACAAAGAGAAACAACAAGACAGTGACTTAAAGAACATGGAAGTTTCTTTCTCGTATCCCAAATTTCCTATCAGTAAAATATGGAAGACTGAAACATTCCAAAGATCAAACCATTCAAGGGATTTACCAGAGAGAAAGAACTGGAAAGGGGTCATATCTAACCAAGAGCCACCCCCCAATGCCTGCAGTCCTCTATACCTACTCCACCCCCCAGACCGTCAGGAACTGAGGACTGACCAATTACTGGGCTCTTTTCATCTTTAGCATCAAGAGGAAAACCTCCAAAGTGCGAACTCCCTAAACCAATTCATAACAGAGCCATCGTGGTGGGGTACACATACCCCAGAGAGAGACACCCCAAATCAGCCCCAGTCCTGGAAATTATTGCTTCCCCGATACAGTAATTAGGGTCAAGGCACACAGGACAATCCAGTGAAGGACACTTGAATGAGGTGACTTTTGCAAGCACCTAAGGATGGGGGCTGGTTGCCAGGAGAACCAACCATGTGATTGGAGGTTGGAAACTTTCAGTCCACCCCGATCTCCAGGGAGGGGAGAGGGGCTGGAGCTTGAATCAAGCACCAAGGGCTATTTAGTCATTCATGCCTATGAGGTGAAGGCTCCATAAACCCAAGAGGACTGGGTTCAGAGAGCTTCCAGGTGGGTGAACACGGGGAGATGTGGGGAGAGTGGCACACCTGCAGAGGGCATTGGAGCTCTGTGCCCTTTCCCCATTCCTTGCCCTATACATCTCTTTCATCTGGCTGTTTCTGAGTTACATCCTTTTACAATAAACCAGTGATCTAATAAGTAACATGTTTCTCTGAGTCCTGTAAGTCATCCTAGCAAATTAATTGAACCCAAGGAGGAGGTTATGGGAACCTCTGATTTACAGCCGTTTGTTTAGAAGTACAGGTAACAACCTGGACTTGCAATTAGCTTTCTGAATTGGAAGGCGGTCATTGAAAACTCCAGTCTATAGCCGGTTGGTCAGAAGCACACATGAGAGCCTGGCCTTGCAGCTGGAATTTGAAATGTGTGCAGGCGCCGGAGGGGGTCTTGGAGGACTGAGCCCTTACCCTGTGGAATCTGATACTATCTCCAGGTAGAGAGCTTCAGAATGGAGTTGGATCCTGGGGCACCAGCCTGGTGTCTGAGAATTGTTTGTTGGGGTGTGGGAAAACCACACACACACACACACACACACACACACACACACACACACACACACAGGAACTGGGTGTCGGAACACCCTTTAAGTGCCCACTCCTTGTCCTAGGTGATTGGGACGTTCTGTCCTCGTGCTTACACTCCCTCAGCAGCTATGTTTCTGTTGCCTGAAGCTACCCTGTAGCCTTTACTGACT